TTTTAGGAGAGAAAGCAACAGATTGTACAGTAGTATATCCGTTCTCGATAAGCTTTTTTACATCCGAAGAATTGATTCCGTATTTCTGTGCATTTATGGGATAGACGTCACGAACATAGTTATGCAAGTGGCAACGAGATTAAATGATTATTCTATTACCTCGAGTTCTGATATCAGTAAGAAAACTTGTTCAGCTGTCTCCTCATCGTACTGTTCTTCGCCTTCTTGATCGATGTCCTTTGGTTCTTCAAAAGATTCTTCGGAGACGGTTTCGCGTTTTTTAGGCATGGTAATTATAAAAGAGTACAGAAACGAATAAAGTAAGTTTTCACAATTGAAACTATTTTAAACAAAGTTTCGTAACTATGACATAATTACAAAACTTTATAGGAACTATCCTTGAATTCAGTATGCATATACAGTGTTTACTTGTCCGGGATTCACGCGTTTATATGACGTAGACCATACCATCACACTAAGAAGTAGCATGCATTAAAAATTTTACTTGAAGCGATAAAAGATGTATTTTATGTAAAAGTTAATATCTCTATTGTTTCGTCCACAATTATATTGTAATTTTCTCGCTTTTTGTTAATACATTCTTAATTCTTATCTTTGTCAATGGTATTAGTAATAACAAACTCTATGTTATACACTGTACCTTAAATTATTAGACATCAAAATCTTGTTTACGAAATTCTTAAATGTTCTTTATCTATATTATCACAATACTATAATCATTGTTCGTTCTGCTTTACCATGTTGCTCCCTCGGTTTTTTATATTTCATAACGATAGGGAAAGCGGGAAATGAAATCAACACACATTCAATCTGTTTAGGAAACTATTTTAAACCTTTTTTTTTTTTTTTATTTGATCAGGAAACACATCACCATTAAACCTTAAATCAAAAACCAAATAAATAATATATTATCCTTTGTGTTTCTGCGTTTTTATTAAGGATAATCGCGATTATAAAAAATACAGTATGTAATTTATCAAAAAATCAGATTTTATGTAACTGCCATACTGATTTTTTTTTTTTCCCAGACAAAAAAAAAGATGAAACTACCGTGAAAATGATGTCATAATTAAATATAGCAATGGGCTTTGCTTGGGCATCAAAAAACATAGAAATAGGGTAGTTTGATGACTTGATTGTTTCTTCTTTCTTTTCGTTAAATCGTTAAATCGTTAAATCACGCAATGGTCCAGATGAAAACCATTTCCGAAAGTCACTATGCAAAGAAAGCATCGAAATATTTGGAAATTTTAAACCAGTTGCGTGGTATCGGTGCACAGTTTGCTGTTAACTTACCTACAATTGTTTTTTGTGGTAACCAATCCGCTGGAAAAAGTTCGTTGCTAGAGGCAATTTCCGGTGTGCAGGTAAT